TACGTACGTACATACATACGTACACACATACGTACATACATACGTACACACATACGTACATACATACGTACATACGTACATACATAGGTACATACACCCATCCATCTATGCATCCATCCATCCATACATACATACATATACATAAGAATATAAGCAAAGCATTTATCAGTGGCTGAGGCGTAAGCTGGAAAGCCAACTGCGTGGACAAGGGCAGGCCGGATGCGGCAGGATTCGGTATTTTTCGGCGGAAAACCCAGCACCTTAACACGGCATGGCTCCGGGCGGTGTAGTATCAAAGGAATGATGCCTCTTTGGCTCCTCTCAACTTGTTGCGCGTGCCTCTTGCCCTTCGTGAGTTTAGAGGTCCCTTTTGCAGTTCTGGAGCCTCTGCTGAAACTCGCCGCGAAGCATGATGAGGCGTGGCAGTTAGACGTGTAAATCGGCACTGTCGTTGTATGTCGTCTTGTCTGACTTGGCCGCATTGCGGATGCGTGGCAGGAATGGGCCCAGCAACTAATGCAGGCGCGTGTCGAACTCAGTTTTGCGTGTCCTCTACGAACCACTGCTGCAAGGAGACGCAGGAGAGAAACATGTTCCTGTCGGAGGGCCTTTGTGGCCTGGTTCTCTCTCGATGTGGTGAAGCTCGTCACATTCAGCTTGCGGAGGCGCCTGAACCTTTGTAGATGTTTAGTCAAGTAGTTGATCAGAATCAACGGAGGTGATACAGCGATATCTTCGTGACCGGAAGATGACCAGCTTGGCCACCTACAAGACCCTCATGAAGGCAGGAAGCACAGTTCACAAGCTCCATGCTCCCCGTTTTCAACTTGAGTTTGCAGAGCATCGAAACAGCATGCAGAAAGACGTGGTGGTGGTGGACTCTAGACTCTAAAGTCCGACAGCTTGGCTGAAGCTGCTGTTGATTCCTTGCAGCTCTGATGCCATGCAGGTCTATGCCACTTGTGAACTCTTCGAGCGTGCTTGTGACTTGTACGACGACGTTCTGGCAGATGGCATTACACCCGACAGTGTGGGACTCTCAGTATTGATTTCTTGCGACAGGCACTGTGATTTGGTGCCTTGCAGGTGATGTACGGTTGCCTGGCAAAGTTTGCCACGAAGTGTGGCCGCGATGCTTTGCAAGACAGGCTCTTCAGTGCCGCTTCGGAGAAGCCTGAGGTGCCGCTGGAGTGCTTGAAGCTGCGCCTGAAATGCCTCGATTAACCCCACCACATCGGCTTCCACAGCAGAAGAACTCTATGATAGTCCATGGTGCTGACGGGTCCGTGTATTGGGTGGCAATGTGCGAAGGTTTTGCTCAAACGTATAAGGCTACAAGGCAGTGGCACCTGGTGCATACAAGAACCGCGAACATCCCAAGTTTACCAATCCCTTTTGAGCTGATGTTGTGGTGATTGGCTGTTACAGGGCGGCGATGTTCAGAACTACATGTGGCTGATACGGTCAGCAGGCCTCGGGTGCCGAATGTGTTGTCAGGGTGAATGCATTCACGGTCCAAGATCCTCCAGGACAGAGACATGATGTTGCCCGCGCAGTCAGTTTGCTTCGGCAGCTGCAGCACCAGAAGGTGCCTGTGACTACCTGTGCATGTTCAAGGGTCTCGTCTCGGCTTCATGCCTGGGATGCACTCGTCTCGAGGCTGTGATGGTGGATGCCGCCACTTACAACTGTGTCCTGGACGTGTGTATGTCGAACGGAGCCATGCAGCAGGCAGAAACAATCTTTCAGGACTCTACGCCCTTGGGATAGCCGGACAGCTCTTCGCCTGACACTTGTGTGTCTTGTGCCGGAGGAGATGCAGCAGAAGAAGCTTCAAAACCTGATCACCTACAATACGCTATGCTCTCAGTGAAATGCGTTCACTTGCCCGCCATTCCGAGCTTTTCTGCCTAGGCTCATGAAGGGCTATGCTATGAAGGCAGCAGATAACATGGGAGTGGGCTGCACTCTACAAAGTTTCTTTCTTGTGACAGGGCGACCTGACTCGTGCGCGCCGCCTCCTCCAGGACATGCAGGAGCCGTTTCCAAGAGCAAAGTTTTCTGCCACAGGGGCTTCTGTGGGTCTCACGGCTTGAGGAGGCTGGCCTGAAGCCCAACTCCGCCTCCTTTAACTGCCTAATCAGTGCAGCAGTCACAGGAGGCTCGGACTTCTCGCATCCCGGAACATCCCGGAACATCCCGGAACCGCCGGAACAGCCGTGCTTCGACTCGTCTCAATCGAATCGGTCTTGATCTCTGCATGTCACATGCGGAGCAGGCGACTACCAACAGGCCTGGACCATCTTCGAGAGCATGCGGAAGTGCGGCGTGGAGGTACTCGCGCTTAGGAGAGTTCCCTTCTGCCCTTGCATGTGCTGTCTGAGCAGGCCGACAGCTTCACTGTATGCATCCTCCTGAAGATCGCATTGATCTTACATCCCTCCGCTAAGACTTCCATCCTAGCTGGTCACAATCGCGATTCTTGGCAGTGGCAAGGTTCGAAAAGCGAGCAACCGTCGCGATGCTCAGAGGGCCTTGAGCGTGCTGGATGCATCGAAGGCCGGCAAGAAGCTGTCTCGGTTGTAAGATCTGCCAATCTAAGAGCAGGTGGACATCTGCAAGGATGAGATTCTGCTGAACACCGTCTTGGATGCTGCAATCCACCTGAAGGAGCCCCGAGAAATGGGCACGGACTCTGCTTTCAAGATTTTCAAGCGGGGCGCTTTTCGGCCGGATGGGCGGTTACCGAGGACACGCGGCGCCTGGCCTGGCTGCTCCGCGACTTCGAAGCCGCGACGCTGCTTCCGTCGGTGCAAAACTACGGGCTCATCATCAAGGCCTGGCCTGGGCCTGCAGAGAAAGCAGCTCGGATTCTGACAGTCTGAGGCCTATGCGTGCCTGAAGCAGACGAAGAAGTGTTGGTCCATCTGGCACGAGATGACGGACAAAGCACAGAGAGGCCAGAAGGCGCAGCGCAAGGCCTCTTTGGCACCGGCCTGAGCAGGTCTGGTTCCCTCAGACGTGGCGCTGAGCTGCATGCTGGACAGCATCGTGAGTGCTGGCCAGGCCTTGAAGCCAAGGGGCGCACTGTTCCGTTGCGCTTCCACCGCATCCTACCAGCAACGACAACCACTTTATTCGGCTTTGAAAGCCAAGCCCGAAAGCACCAGAAGACGTCCCTTCGAAGCTGCCGAGCATGCTAGATGGGATTCATCGTGTTCTTTTTTGAATGTGGCTTTGAATCAGGCAACGAGACTGACAAAGACCATGGCCCGAAGATTTTGTTGCTTGCTTCCGCACTGTCTCTCTTGTTTCTTGTGCCGCTCCCCGCTTCTATTGCATGCAAGTCACTTGACAAAGTAGAATGCATGTAAGACAGCATTTAGGATATTCTTTTCGACGACGTTGCAGGTGGAAGAGGCCGTTACTCTCTTTGACCAGTGGCGTGAGCTGGTGCCACCGAACACGATCATTTTTTCCAACCTGATCAAAGGCCTCAGCAAAGCAAAAAGTTTGTCTTCGAATGTTGTTTTCATGGAGACCAAAGACTTATGGGACATGCACAGGCTTTGCTGCGCAGGGGGATGCGGAGCGGGCGCTGGACATGCATCGTGGATGCGGTTCAGCCTCGAATTTGTGAGTTGTTTTAGGGCCCTTAGCGTATGAGTCTGAGCAATCTTGTGGTGTTCGTGGTCGTTTTGTTTCACACTACCCAGCGACCCATGCTTTTGAGACATGCTCCAGTGCAGGTATAGCCAGCTGCGGGCAGAAGGGTTGAAGATGAACCTGGTTGCATACTCTACCCTGATCGATGCACAGGCGGCGGTGTTCTCTGAGCAAGTTCAGAAGTCACGACTGTCTACCTGGCTACCTCAGAAGAACGCTTGCCAGACCAAGTTTGATCCCCAGGCGCGAGCTGGAAAGATTGAAAAGGCACATGCCCTTCTGCAAGAGATGAGGGAGGCCTGGGGACAAAGCTGGGGAAATGCCTGTAGACTGCTACAGCAAAACTGACGTTGCGTAGACAGCAAGGGTTACCGATGGGCCAACCGAAAACCAGATGAAACGAGCTTCTGTCCAGCCGTTGCTAAAGGATGGCATTGAGCCCAACACGATCACATACTCGTCCTTGGTGAGCCCCTGCCGCACATCGGTGTTTCCGGGCCTTTGTCGGGACGATTCTGTGTTTTGATCACACTCGAACAGCTCTTGCAGGAAAGGACATTGCAGGGAAGGCGATCTCGATGGTGCTCTCAAAGTCTTTGAGCAAATGGTTGCCAACGGAGTTCTGCCCGACACGGTTATGTTCCTCGGCCTTATCGTCAAATTGTGGAACTCTCGCTTTGCCCGTTGACAAGGCTTGATGTCAACGGAATGTAGCTAGTGTGGCTAGATGAGGTACAACACTCTGCTGGACGGCTCGGTTCGCGCCTGCCGCTTCAGCCTGTGCGACCAGCCACTTGGACGCCGATGGGCGCAGAAGGTTCATGTTCACGTGCTCTGGAGTGTTTTAGCCCTTGAGCGCGAGGCTGCTGAAGGAGATGGCACAGTCTGGTGCAGAGCCATCCAACTTTACACTGTCCATTGTGGTGAAGCTACTTGGAGTCGTTGGGTGTGTGTGTGTGTGACCGTATGTGTGTCTGTGTGTGCGTGCGTGCATATGTTGGCACATTTCAGGTTGTTTCGTCGACTTGCGAGAGATGCGGCTGTGTGCTGTGTCCAGCTTAGGATGTGGGGCAAGCGTAAGAAGCTGGACAAGGCATTCGACACCGTGCGATCACACGCCGAGGCAAGGTGCATCTGTTGCCTTGTCCGCTCTTGCGCGTCACGCGCCCTCAAGGGCCCATTCCTGACTGAGGCAGAGAGCCTGCAGCTTGACTCCAAGCTCTGCACGTGCGAGCACCTCAGTTTGAGGGCAGCCGAAAGCCTCTGTGAAGATGCTGACGTCACTGGCGCTCACTTGTCCGAGGTCTGATCAGCGCCTGCTTCCACAACGGGGCGCCCAAGCGGGCCCTGGCGGCGCTCGAGGAGATGAAGACCTGGAAATACTGCGATGGCCTCTTGGCTTCAGAGCGGCGTCGACGAAGCGCACTTCGGACTTCGACTCTTGAAGGCCCCGATGCCGGAACTTACGAGCAGCTCATCGAGCAGCTCGTGAAGGCCGAGCAGCGATCGGTCGGCAGGTGTCGCAGATTGAAGTAGCGGAGATGGCTTGGTGAAGAATCTGACTCGTCGTCCGAGGCATGCTAGCAGCTGCTAGCAATCTTGATAATAAAGACTTACAAAACGTAGATCGAACCAAGCAGTGGCTTTGGCCGCCGCCGGATCTGAGTCGATCAGAAGAGTCTGGAAGCGCGGGCTCGCGCTCCGGAACAGGCCAGCTTTATGCTTTCAGGTCGATCAGTTGTAAATCTTGCGTCGAGGCCTCCGCTGGCCAAAACTGCCACATATGTTTCAACATCGCACCAGGGCGAATCCCTTGAATCCCAAGCTGGACCGGGTGAAGCTGGCAAAATCCCGAGCTTTACCAGGGGGCCAGGGCAAAAGGGTTGGCGGGGGTGTTGATCTGGAATGGAAAACAATTACCCGACCTCACCTTCAGAGAATGGACGCCGCGACGCAGGCGCGGCTGGTCCCGGAGGCTGCTGCGGTTGCCCAGGAAGCCGTGGCACTGGCTTGCAGCCCACGCTCGGGCATCAAACCGTAGCTGGGATGCACTGTGAGAACTTCTGGGTCTCCCGGATTTTCGTGCAAGTGAAGCGAGGCTGAACACTGCGGTGTGGCCGCCCCAGGAATGCAGGAATGCAGCCTATGGTCGTTGCCTGTGAGTCTCTGAGGCTGAGAATTCTGCAGCGAAGCTTGGAGCAATGTGGCCAGGGGAGGCTTTGGAACCCCATCAAGGACTCGACGACCTCGCGTGGATTTATTAGCAACCTATCTTGGGGTTCGTCTCGCTTTGGTGTTCAGGCTTCGTTGCAGTTTCGGGTCAGCCTTGAGGCGTGAGGATCACACAAGTGACGCTGTGTGCCAACAGAAAGAAGGAGCGAGAGGCGGAGAGCGCGAGAAGTCGGTATGTGCATGCGTGAAGCGCGTGCGACACTAGCAGCAACTGTTGAGTGCCTTAGCTGAAACTGCAAGCTCGCCTTGTGCCGGCCATGTTCGCAAGCGGGACCGCGCTCACTGTGCTTGTGACTCTGGCGCAGTCTTGATTGCTTGCTCTTCTTGTTCCTCTTGCTCTAGCGGGTAGCACTGAGAGGAGGGCCTGTGCGATTCACTCCAGCATTTCTGTCGGCGAAGCTGTGAAGCTCTTCCTGTTCCTGTTGGTACTGCTGCTTCGTGGGAATACCTTCCGCAACTTCCCTTGCCGAGAGTCATTTTTTTGGAACATATGCCTGGGGAAGCAAGGTGGGGAGGACATCGCCGAGTCCCCGAGCACCAGAAAAAGGTGACTTCTTAGCCAAGTAGTGTGAACGTGTTGCGATCCCAAGCTCAAACACTGCGAGGACTGGAGGGGTCTTAATGCTCACACTAAGACGCACACCCTTAGCAAAAGAGAACTTAGAAGAAACAAAAGGTCTGAAGTCAGGATCGCCAGCCGCTCGCAACAGCTCCTTCGATCGCTGCAAGAGAGAACGGCTGTCCCGCAGTATGCTGCCGCGCAGGTAACTTGCACTGCCTAGCTTTCTGCCCTCAACGATCAACTCCCATGGCGGAATGGGCACTGCGTCATTGCTCCCGCGGCGAACTCCTTGGCCAGCTTGTCCAGATCTACTCTGTCCTCGAGGAACGCGAGCGAGGCTTTGGGCAACTCCTCGGAGAAAGCCAGTGACGGAGTGTCAGCTGCACATCTGCGCCGCCACGCGCCCACCGACCCGGTGAGCACAGCCCGACATCATCTGCGAAATCTTTTCGCTTGCCAAACATGCAAGCAGAACGGGGGGGGGCCATGGCCCCAAAGACCAGACCCCAGCTTCAGCTTGCGCACACCGTCGTCGGATCTTCCGGACCTGTGGCGGGATGACATGCACGCAACTTTTCCCAAGCAGCCAAGCAGCTTCCCTGTCTGCTCCCATGGCCAATCCTTGTTACCATTGTCTGTAGAGCTGAAACACCCGGATGCGAAACCATCTCCCCCACCGAAGGCGACATCCGGGCGTCTCCGCACTCAGTCTCAGCAGCTCGTCACTTATCGTTTCCAGTGTTGCCTGGAGGGCGCTTCACCTCAAAGCACTTGTGATTGGGGTGCTGACCGCCACACCGCGAGCAGATGTGAGCACAGGGGCAGTCCTTGCGACTGCAGCCCTTGTTCTTGGCGCCGTCTTCTTGACACGACCCTCCTTGCTGAAGCCTTTGCTTTTGCCCCCACCTTTGTGGTTCAAGAACCAGGTAGGTTCCGATGTCTCCTTGCATAGGCGCCGATGGACCCCCAACCATGGACGGCACGATGAAGTAGCTGTGCACTGCCCATGGCATAGCCCACATGCTTGCTCCGGACATGTGAGCCGTGACGGTGCAATGCTCTGTCTGCTATGCCAGCTATCTGCAGCATCTGCCCCTGAGCCAAAACCTCCCCCGCAGACGAAGGCTCCACGCATGGGGCATGCACACAACAACAGCGTTCATCGTCCGGTGCTTGGCTCTGCATAGCTCTGCTGACACATTCTGGTCGACTTGCGTTTGTTTGCAGGGCCTGGAACCCTTTTATGTTCCGCCGGTGCCGAAGCCGCCCGCCTCTGCCTGCAGTCTTGAGCCTCTGGTGCCAGGCAATCTGGCATAGGCGGTTCCTTATAGTTTCTTTCCGCAGCCGTTTTGCACTCAGGTTTTCACCCCCGGTTTACATGCTGGACCTAAGTGCCAGGGACGGGAGGAACGAAGACCCTTCGCGGGCAAGCAGGGAGAACAGACCAAAATAAAGAAAGCAACAGAGATGACAAGGAGACTACGCAGCCTGCGGGTTTCGGCCAAGTCCTTTTGCTGTACAAAACGGGCTAAGTTCGAGCGGTATTGAGCCCTGCGGTCGTCGGGTAGGCATTTCTCAAAGTGGACGTTGTGCAGGATCAGCTGCAGCGAGCCCGACTGCCGATGCCATAGCTGTGAGGATGATGTGCGCAGCACAGCTGCCTGTAAAGCAACTGACGCCAATCCAACCTCCAAGAGGTTGTGCCACTATGCCTGAACGATGGCTGATTGCGCCATTTCAGGTGCACTGGGCCTTGGCTGCCGAAAAAGCTAGTGGAACGGACATCAGCGCTTCGCGTTTTGGAATTTCTGCCGAATGGCTGGGCCAGATCGGTCGACCCGAATGGCCGGAATGGTGTTGATTTTGTGAAGGTCCTCCACTGACTAAGAGGGTTGGCAGGTTGCACGCCACATGACTTGGACTTGGGCCGGCTCTGCTCGCATCTGCACTTCCCCTTCGAAACTTTATATAGTCTCGCGCGATGTTCATGGTTCTCGCAATCCTCCTTCGACGAGCAACATGATCGAAACGCGTGGGGTTTAGGACATTTTTTCAGGTACAGTTGTTCGAGGGTATTTGAGATTTGCATCCTTGTGGTGTTCAGCATCCCAGAAATGTCTGGCTTCATCCGGAGATGGTGGTAGTTTCGGACCGGTTCATAGGGGGTCCGGGAAGTTTGATTGCAGAATTCAGGGCTTATGGGACCTAGGAGATGAGGGCATCATCTCCAAAGAGTTGAAGAGCAAGGCAGTGGAGCCTGCATGAGGCATGTTGATTGAAGCAGGAGAGGGTGAGTGGGCCACCTCAAGAGTCTGGACTGGTAGCTTGACCTGTTTCGGGGCTGAGGACTCTGCTGGCCCAATGGATAGTTTGGAGGAAGGACCCTCAATTTCGGAGAGTTAAGTGGGATGTGGGTCAACATATGCCCCTCTCAGGCGCTACTCCTGATTTTTGAACTCTGGCTCCTACTACAGTTACTGCAGAGACCGTTTGACTTGACGTGCGAATCTGGGAAAGTAGATCACCCTTTTGCAAGGGGTCAGCAAACTGCATGATTTCGGGTGAGGTCGCCGGGCTTTACCGGATGTCCGAGGCTAAGGAAGGATTCGGAATTGGGGCTCAAGCAGGACACGCTGTGCACACAGCGTGAAATCGACGAGAAAGTCCGACAAAAGCGGCTGCCCGTGGAGACCTGCTCGCCTCAGCTCCAAGGGCTGTGCAGCCGAGACGTTGTTTCATTAGCTATTGCACCGTTCTGCCAGGCATGGTCTAAGAAGGCCCCAAGTCGGCTTGGAGAGGTCGGTGTGTTACACACACACACACACTTTTACTTACTTGCATGAAGTTTACAGGGAGCATCCGCCTGAGTTTGGGCTTCCCGTGCCGAAGCTAGCGAGCCACTTCGGGACAACGCACCAATATTCGTCAGAGTCACTAGGACCTCACTAGGACTCACTAGGAGGCAGATGAAGTTGGAAGACATCCACTCAGCACGTATCTTCCGACGTGGGCTTTGGTGCGATGTTGGGCTCAGAGGAGATCCTGCCCAGTGCCGGCGGCTTACGCCCATCTTGCAGTAACCGGGCCTGCCTAGCTCAGCTCATCACAGTCAGAGCTCAAGGCCAGCCAAAGCTCCGAGAAGGAGGAGGCACTGAGAGCTATGACAGACGGCCTCAGCAGAGGTGAGCGCCCAGCCAAGCGACAGAGGCAGGTGCAAATCCAAACAAAGCGAAGCCTTGTCTTCTCCCGCTGCTCTTCCATCTCCGCTTTCTCGCTTTTTCAAGGCTGGCTGATGGTATTTCTGCCGCCGACGCGGGCAGCCGCGAGTGGGCAGAGGCCTGCAATCTCCAATGTCTTGACGAACAAGATTGTCCATATAAGTTGCGCCAGTCACGATGCCAAAATCATCACTTCTTACTTTTAGTTTCTACATCTTTCTAGCAGTTCTTGCCAAATAACGGACCCCACAAGAATGGCGGGCGAGCCCTCCGACTTCACATGTACATGGAAGCCGGCAAGTCCCAGGTCCCAGGCTGCCACGGATCTCTGTTGCTTCTTTCCTGTTTGTCCACTCCATGCTGTTCACATCGCAGTATCTTGTTGATCAGCAACCATGGTCGCAAGAATTGAGGTGATTTCGGTGATCCAGCCTGCCATTGTGGCGCTCAAGGCCTGTTAGGTCCTGACACGTTACTGCACCGCCGGCCGCCCTGCAAAGGTTACCTTCGTGGTGAGCTTCGAAGATGAACATGCGGCAGTTGCCATGGGAACAGGTTTTGTGGTTGACAAGCAGCGAGGCTTGATCCTGACCAACAGGCACATCACCGGCGTCGGTCCTGTGCGGGCAATAGCCATGTTCGACCGTCACGAGGAGCTGGATGCTGAAGTGATTTATCGTGATCCGGTTCATGACTTTGGTTTCTTTCGGTACGACCCATCGAAGCTGCGCTTGACGGAACCTGCAGAGATACGCCTGGCTCCGCAAGAGTTGCAGGTTGGGACAGAGGTGCGCATAGTGGGAAACGATGCCGGTGAGAAGCTTCAGATTCTTTCGGGGACCATCGCCCGAGTCGATCGGAATGTTCCGGAGATCAACGCCGTTTACTGCGACGAGAACACCTTTTACGCGGGGGCCGGAGCCGGGACTTCGGGTGGCTCCAGCGGCTCCCCGGTCTTAAACAAGCAGGGAAATGCCATCGCTTTGAACGCGGCGGGCACGGACGGCGCAGCGAGCGCTTTCTTCCTGCCCCTCAGCAGAGTTAAGGTCGCCTTGCAGCGTTTGCAGGATGGGCTTCCGGTGATGCGCGGCACATGCCAAGCAACCTTCCTTTTCAAAGCCTTCGACGAGTTGAGACGGATAGGACTCCTGGAGGAGCACGAGCAAGACGTCCGCAAGCAAGTTGTTGCGGCAACTGGAATGCTCGTTGTGGATTCCGTACTTTGCGAACAAAAACAGCTGCGGCCCGGTGATATACTGCTCCTGCTGGAGAATAGGCACTGTGTTGACTTCGTTCACCTGGAAGAGGTATTGGATGACAAGGTCGGATGCGCGGTGGATGTGCTTGTTTGCAGAGGCTGGGACTTGCAAGGAGGTGTAGTGCTTCCACACACTTTGATGTTGGTGTCGGTGTCTCTGCATAGGTGGGGTGGAGATAGCAATGTCCATCGACGTGCACGATCTGCACTCGCTGATTCCTCGGAGTTACGTGGAGCTCGGCATGGATGTGGTGCACGGCCTTGGCTACCATGCTGCACGACGTTCGCACCTGCCGCTGGACAGCGGGATCTATTTGGCTCGGTCAGGATACGTCTTCGAATCCTTGGGATGTGACTGGGGCTCCTTGATCACGTCTGCGCCTGGGCCAAACCTCCGACTGCACTCATACCCCTTATACTTGGTAGAACTACGATGTTGCACCCTGCCCATGACCAAAGCTTCGAGCTGTGTGCATCTTCCGACTTTGCTACGAAGGAGCAACAGACAGTCTACTCAGTAACATGTCAATTCATGCCGGATCACCCCGAGCACATCACTCGCAAGGGCTCGTCCCAGCGCTCCATGGAGGCTACAGGTGTTTTGTTTATGTTTGTTTTGTTTGTTTCAGAGCTAAGAGATTTCGTCAAGCTTCCAGGCAAGGCCCCAACACCGACCGCACATGTCAGTTGAGATTGATGATGTTGGATCCGTGGAGCTCTGGGTTTCTACGGGTGGTTGTTCTCAAGTGTATCGAACTTCGTGCCAGCATGTAGCCGTGCAACTCCTTGTCCCAGGAATGAACCCAGTACCGGAAAATGAGAGTGTCCCTGAGGGCCTCAGCAGGCATGCCCTCAGGCTTGATGAGCTTGCGGACCTGCCAGAGTACTGTTTGCCTACTTACTGCTCCTGTATATCTGTCTTCGTCCGCGTCTGCTTCGCTAGTGCGCGATGTGTCAGTGTGTATGTGAATGCGCAAACTCACAAGGTGGTTTGCATAAGATTAAGCAAAGGTAAATGGAAAGCCCACGCCATCACCAGAAGCATTTGCGAAAGCCATCGAGCACATTCCAGACAAGCAGTATTTTCCGGTGCACTGGTACGATCTGCGAGACTTTCGCATCTTGGCTGCTTTGGCATGTCTTCGTAGGCGCATCGACCGGGAAAGTTTCAGTGACATGCGTGGCATGCGAGGCATCATGACTGACCGTTGCAAGTTGAAAGCTTCCCATGCTTCAGACATTCTTGTCGTGTGTCTGCATCTCCCTCTTTAAAGTATGCTTGGAAGGCAGAGACCGTGCACTGAAGACGGGCTTCGCCAAGATGTCACGTGCTTGGTCTCCACTCAAGTTGTGGCGGTGCGCGTCTCCCGCATCCGCGAGCCCCGAGCAGTGGACCTCTGAGGCGCAGAGAAGTCATCCTTCGTTGCCCCGCATGGCCTTCATGCCAGGAGTTGCCGGTGCCTTCCCGGCCACCGCGGCGACCCGAGCCCCTTGGCCGTGCTGCTATCCTTACGGGCGGGGATCGCCTCGTGCGCGCGCTGCAGACTTCGCTGGCGGGGCGGCTCCTTCTTCCTTGTGCCTTGTGCTGCGGTCACGAGCACGGGCCAGGTCACTGTGCGCTTCCGCACGGACCAGCGCTTCCTGACGGAGGCTTCAAAGCACCTCTCGCCTTCGCACCCTCGGCCCGATAAGTTGGCAGGCGCTTGACAGTGGTTCATCCGAGGGCGTGGGCTTGCTGGCACGGAACCCTGAAGAAGTCGAAGCTCCGTTCTGAGTTCTCAGAGTTCTCCGCTCGCTCGGGCAGGTGGACGCAAAACGAGGCATCGCCCTTACGGACAGGCACAGTGCTCCACAATCCCTAGGTGCGATTGAGGTTATGGCCTCAGGGGGTCCGGGTACTACAAAATGGTGAGCGCTCTGTCGAGCATTCTTCAGGTAACTCTCGCAGGCTGTGCTACTGTAGAGGCGGAGGCAGGATATGCTCTGGAGTGCAGGACAGTGCGACAGCCAGTGTGAAAGGTGTTCTTCATCCATCCGCAGCACAACATTGTCCGGTACCAAACGCTGAGGACCCTGCAGACCCTGCGCTGCCCCTTTCTTTTGCCTTTGGGCCGAGGCCCTGCTCCGCTGCGACCCTATCGCCGTCGAGATGCTC